TTTTTATATACATTAGTTTATTGTATTTTTACATACATTTCAGAGTTAAATTGTATCATTGTATATACACAAAGTTGACATCATGTTTTTAAACAACTTTTCTTTATATTGCACTTGTTTTAAACTGCTTTATATTGAAATGAGTTCAGTTAAGTATTCATGAGTTGAGAAGAGCTAATGTAAGTGTTTTTTTTCAGAATCTTTTCAAGCCTATGTTGTTTTAGCATTCCAACTCGCATACTCATACATTCAATGTACTGATGTCAATTGGCCTGCATCGTCTTATGATGCAGGTACAGGTAACTAGGATCTACACTCCAACGCACCGTTGATCCAGTGAGCAGTTCAGAGTCAGTCGGTGAGCCTCCTTGCATTCCGGAGGATCTATTTTCATTGCTTTCTAGTTAGTTCATTAGGATGTTGTGGGGTTTGTCCCAACATCCATCTCAGTTGTTTTAGAGGCTTCATAGACAGTCAGATGTTAGTCCTTTGAGTCTTTTCATTATCATTTCTTATTGTTAAGACTTGGGTTGCCACTTTTGGCCAAGTTGAATGTTTAACCTTTAACATTCTCAGTTATCTTATTATTCAGTTCAGTTAAGTGTTATTGATAATTATAAGTATGAATATTGTCTTTCGCTGAGTTAAGTAAGCCAGGCCAAGGGTTCGCTCGGGGTCAGCGATGGTCTTCGAGTGCCAGTCCCGCCCAGGGTGTAGGCTTGGGGCGTGACACTTAGGTAGGGTACCATTCAAAATTGGGGAAAGTTCAAAAGTTTAGCTAGCGTTTAATCATAGATTTTGGGAGTAGTTTTAGAAAACTTATATATAAATTTTTTGTTTGGCCATGATAGGGTTGCATTAGGGATCGGGCTTTAGATGGTTTCATTTTTCACTAGTCATGGATGAACTGATGTGATATGTTCAAGATATGGTGTCATGGCGTATATTATTCACAGAATATTGAACCAAACAAAAATTGTTTGGTATGGTATTTGGTGAGCACTATTAAAAAAAATAATCAAAAATCGAATAATTGAAATGAGGGGGAAAAGAGTGAAATTAGTGATTTAAGTCGTCTATGTGGAGGTGGGGGTATTTGGCGTGCACATGTGGCGTCCATGTGACATTTAACACACACATGGATACTTCAATTAACTAGAAGGGTAGGTGTGGCCCATAGTTTGACGGAAAGTATATTTTTGAACCAAAATATAATTTAAGGGTATATTTAAGCTATTTCGAAAAGTTTAAAATAGTTTTGACCCATTTTCGGAATTTTAAAGTCATAAGTTCAATCATAAAAATAATCAAAAAGGTAGATTTCTCTTTTTAATTAATTATTGACATGTATGTTCCTCAGCTTAAGTAATTTTTTTTCCCAGTGGAAGATGCAAGCATGATGAAGCGGAGGAATTTCCGAAAGAGAAGTAGAGTAGACGACGGGGAAGACGACTCATCAACTAAGGATAACAACGGCTCCGACGACGAGCAAGAAAGGAGGTCAGTCAGTTCACTCTTCAATATAGCTTAGGGTTTTCAATTTTGTTTGGATTTCGTTAACGAGGATTTGAGATGACCAAGGCAGGTTGGCTTTAGAGGAGGTGAAGTTTCTTCAAAAACAAAGAGAGAGGAAGCTAGGTGTACCAGCTGTATCCTCAACTACATCACAGGTTGCAGCAGGCGGCGGCGGTAGTAGTAGCAGTGCAGGTGGTTTGGTTCGCAAGGTGAATGATAAGGGTGAAGGGGATGGAGAGAATGATGAGTTGGTGTTGCAAGATACTTTTGCTCAGGAAACTGCTGTCATGGAAGAAGACCCTAACATGTAATGTCAATTGAGCTTTTTCAACCTTCATGTGTTATTCATTACCTTAGTGTTGCTGAATTCCTGTGGTCACTGGAGGATGTAGCCTCGGTGCTGCGGATTCAATTGAACCTGGTTATTTTTGACACGAATAGAAGATTTTTATGTGTAAAAAAACAAAATTTCGACAAATATTAGAGTCTGAACTCGTAATTTAGGAGTATAGTGAGTTCATGGCTAATAATTTTAATGGTTAAACTCATTAAGTTAAAATTCTAGATCGATGTGGCACTAGGTTGATTGATATATAGAATTACACTAGGTTGATTGATAGATAGAATTACACTAGGTTGATCATTTCCTCTTTGAAGTTCTTTTTCAATCAAGTGTTGCCTTCATCTAGATACAGGCTTAATTGCTGTAACTATCTCTGTATCATACAGACTTAATAACCGTAACTATCAATTGGTTAGTGATTCTCATCAATTGGAATTTGTCATTTCATTTGCATATGGAGCCAAAAATGGCACTACTAGGCTAGATATTAGGCAATATCTTAACACTTTGCTATTCAAATTCCTTCTTGGCATGGTACTGCCGGGTGAGTTCAATATTATTAGAGGTGTAATTGAAGGTCAAGGAGGTTCCACATTTTATTTTTTTTAATCATTAGTAAATATCTGCTTGTTGACAGTGAAGTTTTGCATTGCAAAGGCATATCTTTATTCGGGCTAGGGGAAGAATCTTGGCTCCTCAATTTACCTGATTGTCAAGTTGACCCTGGTTTACCTTTTTTTCTTTTTGAGAAAGCCTGGTTTACCTGTTTAATAAGGTTGGCAGTTGATTTCTTTTTCAAAAAAAAAAAGGGTTGGCAGTGGACAAAACCTTTTTATAACATAACATTTTGGGAAAGGCAAGGCATTGTAGCTTCTCCACTACGCTCATTAAATCTTGGAGGGTATGGTCACTGGTAATTCACTCAGCGATTTGTGGCAAAAGCAGCAATAGTGCAAAGCAGATACATATTGGTCATGTGCCTACCTGAGTCCAACAACTTAAAGCAACAATTAGGTGTAATTCAGAATTAAGTCCTCTCATTCATCACAACTTTTCTTTTGATACAACAATAAAAAGAGATTAAATGCATGGGATGCTGATACAAAGAGGAAACACCCTCTCTAGATAAGTTGGTATTAAGGCGTTTGGCTCAACCTATGGGCTTTGCCTTAAAGTGGGAAGCACTAAAAATTGTTTTGAACTTGATTTAGTAGTTCTGTTATATAGAAATCATTCTTGAAAGAACGTACAAATTTTTATTTTTTTCACTTGCCTCTTTTCCATTAAAACCTACGCACTATTCACACTTTGCGCTTAAAGCCTCGAAAGACATCAAACTTTTTTTTTCTTCACTACTCGCCTGTGATAACTCTGCTCAACATAGAGCTGAAAACAAACTTATTAGCTGCTATTCTCTTGATGCTAGGAAAGTTTTACGAGGAGCTGAAATTGGAGGTTTCGCTGCTATCTCACTGGTGATATTCATCATAATTTGTTTTGTAAATTAACTATTTTATTGATTTAATAAGGTAAATATCCGTATATAACATGTATGCAAAAGGTACAAAGTCTCTTTACAAAAAATAAATAAAATAAAAATGGCAGTCTCATACAGAAACATGATTCTATTTGAAATGCTCCAGCCTCCAGGTTCACCAAAAATGTACAAAAGAACGTTATCAATTGCCTTTCTTACAACTAGTTGATGCCTTTGTTGACTTGTCCGAAAAATACGAATCATAATGTGTCCTGTAAGGCAAACCAAAGTTCACACTCATCCTATTGGTAGCTGAGAGTTAGATGCTTTTGGGGCATTATGGTGCTTCTTTTCTACCTCCACGAGGTAGTGGTAAGGTCTGCGTACACTCTACCCTCTCCAGACCCCATGTAGTGGGATTTCACAGGGTATGTTGTTTTTTTTGAGAAAAGGGTAACTTCGTATTCATAGAAAAAATTCATCATCCAAGAAATGATGAATTGGAAACTTACATCCCATAGTGTGATGGGCCCACCCCATACAGTTTATCAGATTACAAGTTTCCTAAGAACTCTGCTACTTCTACCACCCCCCCACCAAATCTTGTTTACACCAAAAAAATAGAAGACTGTATTCAAGTAATTTTCTGTCCTTCAAAACACCTAGTGTTTCTTTCCTTCCATTTGGACCACCAGATACATGATGGGATGAGCTTCCACCATTCTTCCTTTTTACTTCTGCTTCCAACTCCTAGCCAACTGTTCAGAAGCTCCAATGTAGTCTTTGGCATCACCCAACTAACCCCCAAAATGCATAAAAACCTATTCCACAAACTGGTAGCTATTTGGCAGTGTATGAATAGATGGTTGTTCACTTCAGCTTCCTGTTCACACATAAAGCACCTTGAGCAGATTTGCATGCCTCTTTTCTGTAGGACCTCATGAGTGAGACATGCCTTCTTGATTAGTTGCCAAACAAAACATGAAACTTTCAATTCAAGCTGAAACATGGGGAAGCACTTGGGTTTAGCAGGATTGAAGTTCTGAATTTGGTTTTCAGGGGTTTCATATGCTGGATAAAACACTTACAAATTTGTGAAACGAAGGAACATATTCGACTAGTTGAGGTTCAAGTTTTGGACCATGTTGGATCTGTTCACTAAAAATTCTTGCTGGGGTTGTGGGAGCTGTCGACTTGATTATGGAGTGTTTAGTGGCTAGGACTTGAGTATGAAATAGATGTGGGTGATAGAAAGTGGTGAATCATATTTTAGAATGGCAGAAACATTTTAAAAAAGGATGCTGTAGGAATACTACCTAGAATAACGTTTGAATAACTATGTAGCATTGTAGTGTCAGGGTGTATAGACCCTGGTTTGAGCAGAGAATTAGATGTCAAACCATCAACCCTCTCCCTTACGTTGAATCTACAGATAGGCCAAATAAGCTTCCAGCTTTTCTACGAAGGATTGAAAATAAATAATTAAGCAAATCTATTACTCGACTTCCAAAACCCGTCAGAGTCGAAGTAAGAAAGACAAAAAATCTTAATGCATTAGGATCTCATGTACTGGACCCATTGAAGTTTACTGTAAATAGTTAGTTATCACACATATATGTCCCCTCAGATACAAGTTTTTCTGACTGTTCCGCTTGGTTGATTTTGCAACAATCTAATATCAGAACAAAGAAGAAATGTTCCAAGTGTGGCCTGTGGAATTGAGAAGGTTTCCCTTTCTTGCTACTGTGTTCAGAATCATTAGGAAGTTAGTATTTCAACAGAAAGTTGTGTTAATGCTTGGTTTCTTGGAGATGGCTTGCAAAAACAGAAAGTTGTACCAAAACATTACTAAGTGGCATACGTCCTAGATCCACTGCCCTTGACTATATCAATCCCTTTTTTTTTGAAAATGGTGATGTTGTATTTTTCAGCATTAAGGAGATGCCGGGGACCTTACAAACTGAAAAAAATAATAATACTTAAGCGGATCCTAAGAATTCTATAAACTGTTCTGAATCCTCTAGGCCTAATTCTTTACACCAAAAAAATAAAATAAAGATACAATACAGTTGCATTTAACTTTATGAATGGAACTGGAAATATCTTCAAAATTTCTGCTGTTTCTTTCTGTCCAAACTGTCCGCCATCTGCTTTGTGGAATTAAACTCCACCATGTCTTTTGTTTCTTACTACCCCCTCTCCTAATCCAGCAGCTCAATATATCTGCAGTTTGTTCAGGCATGGTGCACCTAAAACCTGAACTGTTGAGGAGTATGGCCCATATTTGTGATGTGAAGCTGCATTGCAAGAATAGATGGATGGTGGTCTCCTCCGTCTTCCAACATAGTGAACACCAAGATTCTATGATCGTTCCTTTCTTCTTTAGAACTTCATGTGTCAAACATGCCCTTCTAACAACAGCCAAGTAAAACATTTAACTTTGGTTGGTGCTGAATTTCCCCATGCCTTTCTCCACAGGCTTTACTGATTGTTGCTCTGCTGGAATCTTTCCATCTTATATGCCCGGCCAACCGTGAAGACTCCATCCTCACTATGTGACCGTCTCACAGAATCAAGCTCACTGTTGGTACCTGGGAAACTCCCAATTTCTTCCGACAGTTTGGCAACTCTCTCTCCACTTCTCAATCATTCAAAATCTTCTAAACGTTATGTTCCAACCTTGTGCTGTCCAAAATTCATTAATCCATGCCTCCGGGTTGTTGCATAATAAGAACAGATCTGGATAAGAGTCCTTCAAAGGCAACTGATTAATCCAAATGTCCCTCCAGAATCTAGTTCTCTTACCATCTCCCACCTTTATGTGCAGATTGACCTCTAGTTTTGGCCACAAATTTCTTGTAGTTCATACCCCCCACTCCATAAGTGTCGGTGCTGGCATTGCCGCACCAGTTTCCATCTTCTCCATATTTGCATTTGATCATGTCCTTCCGCAGGTGCTTGCCCCTCCTCATTATACCTCCACAACTACTTCATCAGCAGACTATTCTTCTGCTTCCTCAAATCTCTAATGCCCAGGCCTCCTCTATCTCTGCTCTTCAGAGTTATTTTGACTAGGTTGTAGCCTTTAATCTCCTTGCATCCATGCCAAAGAAAATCTCTTCTAAGCTTGTCCAGTTTTTGTGTTTTCTGTTTCTTTAATGTAATGTGCATCACGTGTAATGGGGGGTAAGAGAAATAGGTTCAAGAAGAGCTTTTGAATGTTGTAACTTCTATTAGATGCTATTCATTCTAGCACCCAAGGGTGTGGCCTAGTGATCAATAAAGTGGGAGGAGAACCATGAAGTCTCATGTTCAAATTCCACCTAAGGCAAAAAACACTAGGTAATTTTTTCCCATCCGCCTAAGCCTCTATGGGCAGAGTTAATCAATACCTATGCTGGTTGGAGATAGCAGGTATCCAGTGGAATAATTGAGGTGCATCGAAGTTGGCTCGAACATCACCGTTTAGAAAAAAAATCATTCTGGACTAGTTTTTTTTTTAGAGGAATATGTATTCTTTTATTGTTTCTCAAATATTGATCATGCACATGTTTAGCTATATATGCTTACTGCTTTCTTCCTTTTCTGCATTAAAATTTTGGCAGGTTGAGATATGTTGAGCAAGAGTTGGCCAAAAAAAGAGGCAAGAACGTTGATGTGGCTGATCAAGTTGAAAATGAGGTGAAACGTGCAGAAGATGAACTTTACAAAATCCCAGAGCATCTTAAAGTGAGTAGTAGATTCATATTAGTTCTTGTTCCCATCAAAATTGCAAAGGAAATAGGAAAAAAAGAGCATATTTTCTCTTGCCTTTTTGGTTTAGCCTAATATAGTTATGTTAGTGTCTAACATAACTATATTTGAATTATATCTTTGAAAAAAGAGGCTATATTTTCTTGTAGGATCTAGCATCCTCACTTTTAATTTTTATTAGGTTCAATTTATCTATATTATGTCCATGTATTCATCTGGATATTTAATATTGCAGTTTTAACTTTCTCATTTAGGCCCTGTATCTTCTCTGCTATATTCATGTTATCATCTGGATCATCCTAATAAGCTGATATTTGGTAGAAGCCGCACATTCCCGAGACCGAGGTTGCGCCCATTCCGCGTGCCGTTCTGGTTCCGCACCTCTGGGACTTCGGAGAGCCGCTAAATAATGAGGTTCGGCATCTGCTTGAGAAGGAAGAAGAAGGGTTGGATCCGCTCTTAATTCCGCTCGGGCCTCTCTTTGGAGAGTCCCTTCTTTCCAATCTATAAATATAGACCATAACCTATTTTTTCTATTTTTGATAATAATAATGGTTTTATTGATAACTGAGAGAATCCTCATTGTCAGAGTATAACACCTTCTGTTTGCAGTCGATACTCGGGTTTTTTTATGTAGAGACAACAAATCTGAAATATGTAATTATGTGGTTCCAACTCTTCCAAGCAGATTGGGTACTAAGGATCATTTTAAAGAAGGGAAAATAATTGCACCCTCAACTTGTCCTAAGAAGTTTCATATGCACTCTTAACTTTGTGAGCTTCCCTTTTATACCCCCTTTTCTTGTTCGATGTAACTAATACCCCTAAGAGGTGATGTGTAAAAGAAAATCTTTTTACTCTCCTGTATGCGTGTGAGAAGCATAAAATGAGTTAAATAGTACAAATGACATTTCTAATAGGAGACATCACCCCATAAAAAAAGTATGGCATTTCTAATAGGAGATTATTTAATTAAGTTTACTTTTCCTTTATGGGGCCTCTTTTCTTTCAACTTGATTTTTTTTTTCATTTACTTTTTTCTCCTTCTCTTTCTCTTTCTTTTCTCTGGACATTGACCTCCATCAGCATGTATTGAGTTATCCAATTAGCAAGAGTTCTTTTTGCTGTTTTCATCTTTTATATGGAAGATCTACATAGAGGGCTGCTATGGAGCGAAACCCCCCATAATTTTCTTAGAATATAAATCAAAAGGCGAAAAGCAGCTACTGCTGATAACAAGTATGTGAATTGTTATAGCAATTCAGGAGCTAAAGGGCATACGAATTATACATGAATTACTGTGATGTAGGAATTTTACTGCTTGTTAGCATAGTTCAGCTCTGACTATAGTGCCTCCTACAGCAGTTCCTTTGGATTTGTGGTTTAGAATTATTGTTATTTAGAATTAGTTTTACATTATTAGTTTTCCAGTTCTAGCACTTCACTTTTTGATATTTTATTTCCCTTTAAGGATTCTTATTATGAAGGATTAAAAGTTTAAATTGTTTAAAATTAGGCTAAATTTCATGTTTATCCCCATAGTTCCTGTTTTCCCGTGCTACACTTCAATAAATCATCAATCAATGAAATACGCTGCAAACCAAAATTTGTTGTTGTCAGCTATGTGAATCCTCTATACTCTTTCTGCTCTTTCCGACATCTTTCCTTGTATTATTTTATTTTGTATTCATGAACTGGCCTTCTTTTTTGCTCAGGTGAAAAGGAGGAACTCAGAAGAGAGCTCTACTCAGTGGACAACTGGAATAGCTGAAATACAGCTCCCTATAGAGTATGCCCGTTTATTCTTATGGTGTAAAACATGGGTTTTATTAATACAGTTTTTGGATGCTGATCAAATGTTTATTAACCTTTATCTAAATAAATAAAGGTTTGTATTTTGCTATAGGATTGAAGATCTTCCTGCTACTCTCCACAATTGTAATTAGGAACCTGTAATTTGTTGTGGCAGGGTCTGGTTTTTTGTTTTGGAATTGAATACAAGTTGTTACCTTCTCAAAAAAAAAAAAAAAAAATAAAAAAATAAAGGTTTGCTAGGAGATTTTTTTTTCCTTTTACGCTGGAATTTGCACTCTACTCCCAAGATGAATCTGAAGATCTTCCCGCGTATTGTTTTGAACATAGGAAAACCTCACATGTTTTACTCTATTTATTTGTTAACATTAGAGTGTGAAATAGATCCATTCTTGCTTGTAGATTTGTACAATTTTCAGTTAATACGAAACCAATTTTGGATATATTGAAGTTGAGCTCTGTAGCTAATTTTTTGATGTTCCTTTTCATCATTTTACTGGTTGAAGGTACAAATTGAAGAATATCGAGGAGACAGAGGCTGCTAAAAAGCTCCTACAGGAGAAGAGGCTCATGGGAAGAGCCAGAACTGAATCTAGCATACCTTCAAGTTACTCTGCAGACTATTTCCAACGTGGCAAGGATTATGCTGAAAAACTCCGGAAAGGTAGGTTGCAATTGCTTCTTGTGATTAAGCTTGCAGAGTTGTTTGATAATAAAAGTTCCTTTTGTGTGAATTATAAACCTTAGATTAGACACCTTTAAATAATTTGGGAGAATAATTGTGTACACAGTTATCTTCACTTCATAGTTCCACGACTTTTTTTGTTGTTGTTGTTGAGGAAAGTAACAATTGTGTAAATCATCAGCACAAAGGCTGTGCTGTTAGCCAATTACAGATTCCAAAAGGACTGCTAAAAACATGTGCTTGTTCTTCTTACAAGGACTCTATGATGTCTAGTATGAATTCATCATCATTTACATAATTTTGTTTACACCTAAACAGAAAAAGCAGTATGCAATTCATCTTTATCCTCTGAATGGAACTTCTATCTTCAAAGCACCTAGCATTCCTTTCCTTCCAGAATATCCACCAAATGCAAGTAGGACCAAGTTTCACAGCTTCTTGTGTCTTACATTGCCCTCTGAACTTTGGCATAGTCCACCCGAGTCCATCCATGCTGGGAAAAAGTTGCCTGGTTAGTAGTGACTCCACAATGCTAAAAAAGATGGCTATTATTGTCTGACTCTGCACAACATAAGTAGCACCTGGAACTCATTTCCTCATTTCTTAAAGTTTTCCTGGGTTAAGAAAGCGCCTAGCCACCAACCACACAAAACAAGCTACTTTGAAAGGAGCCTTGATTTTCTAGATCTGCTTCCAAGGCCAGTTGTTGCCCACCTGACTGTTTCCTGAGAGTAAGGAATAAGCTGACTTCACTGTGAAAACCTTACTGTTGGTCCCCTCCCTAGTTCCATGACGTCCAGTCTATGAGAATCATCACATGTTGTAACATAGGTTAGCCCCTGTTACAGGATACCACAACTACCATCAATGTTTTCTGATTCAAGACGTGTTGTCACTCTGCAATACCCATTTCTGTTGAAATTTACCTTCATAGTACTTGAGTTGATTACACATTTGACCTGAATGCCACTCTTAGAGCCCACATATCTCATGCTTCTGGGAGAAGAGGACATGTTTAATATATTTCATCTTCCTCATAATTTATGTCAGCCTCTCAAATCTTGATATCAATTAACCAATAAATCCTTTGAGTATCTGATCTTCACACTATAAGCTCGTATATTGGGTTTAAATTTCTCCTTTGGACCAAGGTCAGCCTTGGAGTTGCTTGCAACTTTATAAATGCTTGTTTTTTATTACTCACTGTTTCCTTTATCACTAATGATGCAAAATCTATCTTTAACAGAACATCCTGATTTGTACAAGGAGAAGAGTAAAGATACTGAAAATTCAGAACCCAAACCCCATGATTCAACTTCAGATGGAGCCGTTAAAAGGCAAGCTGCGACTGATCAGTTCATGCTTGAGCGCTTCCGTAAAAGAGATCGCCATCGGGGGATGCGTAGATAGTAGGATAGTGCATGAACGTGGTTCTCCCACATGATCAAGTTGTTCCTCAGTGAAAAATACAGCTGTCCAGCTTCATTTGGCGGCTGTGAAGGCATAAGCTGTGTTGACTTGGAACTATCTGTCATTTCAACTTTACCAGCCCCCATTTTACAGATTGGTAAAGAACTTTTACCACCCTATTTTATATGCAGGTTGATTTCCCTACTTTCCATGTGACAGTTCACTGTTGTTTTATATTTTCTGGCCTTTTGTCTATTTTACTTTTCCTTGTCATTCATAGTGTTGCCTCTATGCCCCAACAGGAAAAATGATCACTTGGTTAATTTGTTTTATTCATAAAAATGTGTATTATCTTATGGGGATTGCTAGCCAATTTATATGTAACGAAGAGCCGATGAGCTAGACTTTGCTGTGATTTAACGTGCAATTGTATACAATTCATGTGTTCATGTAATGACAGTTTTAATACCATTACTAAGAGATCACAGATTTGATTTAATTCAATTTGATGATCTCTAGAACTAATCTATGTTAAAAGAGATTCTAATGATTATTGAGCAAGAACTGACTATTTTCACATGTCATCGTGCAAGTACTTCTATTGGAGGATTCTTGACCACTTTTATCTTTGATTCTTAAATGGGAAGTTTTATTATATATATATATATATGCGCTTTAACTTGCTTTCATTTTGCATATATGTCCTCCAACATTGGGTGTGCAGAAGTAGACACATAAATTTGTATAGAATTAAACAAATAGACACATGTTTTATGTGGCACCCTATATGACAATTTTGTTCTACTTGGTGTTTTATGTATATTATGCCACAACTCATGTATCTAGTTGTTCAACTTTATAAAATTTTAAGTGTTTACTTATATACATTCAAGGGAAAAAGGACAAATATATCACCGAACTATCGTAAATGGTATGCAGATATCCTTCGTCATACTTTTGGGACATTGGTTCCCCTGTTGTCCAAAAACTAGAGCATATATGCTCTTCACTCTAACGACTGAATAAATAAGGACACGTAGCGCAATCTTATTCGTTGATCCGATATTTAATAAATATCAGAGCGATGGATAGGATTATGACACGTGTATGTATGTTAGTATAAAGGGTATATATACTCTAGTTTTTGGACGACAGAGGCACTAATGTCCCAAAAGTATGACAGAGAGTATATGCATCCCATTTACGATAGTTCGGGGGTATATTTGTACTTTTTCCCTACATTTAAAGTTGAAGGGCATAAATGTAAAATGATGCTAAGTTAAAGGGCACATTTATATACTTTGCCTCTTTTTTTTTGTTGAGTACAATTTCTTTCGCAAAAATAGTGAGTATTGGTTCTCGTTAAGTTTTTTTTTTTTATATATTTTTTTAACTCTTCAAGTAAAGTTTTGGGATAATATCTTGAAGTTTTACTTGTGAAATTTGAAACTCTACTACAAGTGATTATTATCAAAGTGAATTTCATACGTTGAGTTTCACACAAAGGGTTTTTGATTGTGAAAATGGAGCTTCTTTTGTGGCCAAAAGATGTAATTGAGCCTACTGAGAAAGTTGTTGTTTTGTTAATATTATCAACGTTATTTTACACTCAATTATCAGAAAGATAATATAGTAAAAGTAATATCTATTTATGGGGCATCGTAACACACTAGATATGATGCATGAAAAGGAATCATTTCAACTTGTACACAAAAAGACATGAACTAAAAAACAAATGAAGTTCCATTTACATATTGTGCGTGATACACGTTTGTAGTGGTGATTTTTTATTGTGATAATGAGTTCCTTTTATAACTACCTAGTAAAATTATCCGTGCCTTGTGCAAGAATTTAAATTTATTAGTGATTAAAACTAAAATATTATATTATCTTACATATAAAATTATGTAGTAACGAACATTAATTATGTAAAGAAAAATGATAATTATAACATCTTATCATTTATCCTTCAATCAATCTCTTTAATTTGATTTTATAATTTATCCTTTTACTTTCAGGAAGTGTTACTATTTGATAGGGGCATCAAATAAACATCAACTCGAGATATACAATATTCTAATTCTAATGTGTAGAAAAGTTTAGCCCTACCTTTTGCTTTACATATATCATTTTCAAGTTCTCCATTTTAATGTAGCATAAGTAATTACTAAAATGAAATATTAAAGGGAGAATGTATCATATTGGACAACAATTCAACTTATTATATATACCTGAAAGAGAAAAATATTACACAAAACTATTCAGTTTGTTTGAGTGTTTTTTAAAAATCAGCATACCAGAGTGAGGAGTTTAATTTGAAACTACTCTTTTATTCCAATCGCAGTGTCGAAAAACTCATCTATTGCTTCAAGAAAAGTATTTACAACTTGCACTAAATTTGAGAATCTGTCCATACTTCATATTAAATATGAGCAATTAATTAATTGTGTAGTTATCTATGTCTTTGGGATTAAAAGAGGCTATAGTTTACTCATATTCCTCTATAGGTCATCCGACACATCCTTGAACCCATGTCAAAAGTTTATTAATTCTTGTCTTCTTTTCCTGATTCACTTCACACATCAAGAGGAGATAAGGTTTTTAATGTCTTTATGTCCTTAGAATGACATACCAAATTTGAATTTTGTCTTCAAGAGATGGTGATATAGATCTTTAAGAGTTTTTTTTATTGTACCTTCAATAATTTCAGTAGAGAAAACTTGCGTGAATACTCAATTAACGTATGTTATTTAATCTGTACTAACAAATACTTATAACTATAACTTTGCAGAAACATAAACAACAAAGTCTAAAACATATAACCAAAAACAACAATTAATAACATAAGCATAAATGAATGACTGTAAAAAAAAATACCAGGATCCGTACAGTAGAATGAAACAAAAAGGAAAAAATCGAGCCCACTGAATGTACAATGTTCTCTTAAGAAAATTATTTCCCTCTAGTACCCGAGGCTTAAAGGAATAGATCCTCGTAGGACATAACGATTCTCTTCACCAGTATATTGATACAAAGATAATGGTGTCAGTGAGCCACTCAGTAGGAGCAAAGTACACGAATATTTAATTGTGCAGAAGAAGAAGAAGAAGTTCAGAATTTTCGATATTTTAAAACGCCAGGATATTCCTCTATTTATAGACAACAAAGGGTAGTGTGAATAAATACTTATTATGCCTTATCGGAAATGTCACAACTTTTTGGAAAAGTTACAACCCTTTAGAAAGGTCACAACATTTCATAAAAATCACAACTTTTTCATAAAAGTCACATTTTTTCATAAAAGTCACAAACTTTTCATGAAAGGTGAAAGCTAGTTTTGGAAATAAATAAATTAAAAGAGAATTCTGATTTGTGGTGGCGCCACGTAGACGGGCCTAGGGTTCTCTTATATATGTGTGTGTATATATATATATATATATGATATGATATGATACTCCCTCCATCCAACGATAGTTGTCAACTATACTATTTTGGGATGTCCAACAATACTTGTCCACTTTATGAAATCAATGGATAATTTTACACTTAGTTTCTAATCTACTCTTATCTTAATATTAAAAGTACATTGATACTTGTCACTTTTTGTAATTTGACACTTAAAAACACTTTAGAAAAAAGATTAGTCAAACACAATATGCTTATAAAAAAAAAATTCAAATGAATTAGCCAAATATAAATTGTTTTTTTTCAAAAACACTTTTCTAAAAAACTATTTCTAAAAAATGATTATAGAAATAAGCCGTTTTTAGTAGCAATGCCAAACAATCTAATATATATTGGCCAGTTTGGTTATAAAACAAGTTATCTCGAAAATTAATTATCCCGAGATTTTTATCCAACCCTTAATGTAGGATAAAAATAACATTACAAAATCATCGAATAACTAATTCTTAGATAAGTTATCCTACGATTTTATCTCAGCCAAGTATGAGATAAACTCATTCTAAAATTATCACTTATCTCTTATACTAAACGAGAACTCGTTTGGTTGGCGAACAAATTATTTTAGGATTAGTTATCCTAAAATTATTATTCCACCTTAAATGGGATAAAAATAACAACCCGGAATAATTAATAGCAGAATAAGTTATCCTACAATTTTATCTCAATCAAACATAAAACAACACTAACACCATCAATTAGGTTGCATTTTATCTCTCGTACCAAACGAGCCAACCGGCTACCTAACAACCCCTTGTTTAGGTATACAGTAATTTTTTTTTGTTTTTGTTTAGGCCAATGAAACGGTGGACGGTGGGGACTAAATTGCATTATTCCTGAAAATAAAGAAGCAAAACTGCAACTTTTCAGTCATATTTTGCGCGTAACGTAAAAGCAGAGATGGCACTAAACTCACCCTTATTGGTTAAGGTCCTTCAATATACAGATGGATAAAATCACTACTGCTAGTTCTACTTCTACTTACATTTTCCACCAATCCTTCCTCTTCCACAAGATCCGCCTGCGGTTTGGTTTTCATCCTCACTAAAACCACTGCCCCAATCAATTTTCTATATCTACTACTTGTGTCAGTCTCTCGGGATTTGAGTATTTGCTACTAGTACTACTAGTACTGAGACTGACGCAATTTCGTTTCAATTCGGTGTGTTTTTCATTGTAATCGGTGTATTTGGGTAAAGGGTGAAAAGGGTTACGGTGGTTATGCGATCCATGTCGATACCGAAAGAGCCAGAGCAAGTGATGAAGCGGAGAGATGGATCGGTCTTGGGGAAAAAGACGATTTTAAAGAGTGATCATTTTCCTGGATGTCAGAATAAACGATTGTCTCCTCATATCGATGGTGCTCCCAATTATCGAAAGGTAGCTTGAATTGCCACATTCGTTTTTAATTTACTATGTTTAAATTGATCACATTTTCTTTATGTAACGCCCAAGTCAAACTCTGTATCCAGCCAAACTGTTTTTGGTATTCATTTTTTTGGGTACATTTTGTCGATCATAGCTATTTAAAACACATCTCTTTTGTTTAACTAAACCTCTAACTTCTACAGTGGTTTCACCTGGGCCATTTTGCGTAGTTGATGAATCATTGTAAGATTGGGTGAAGTGCAATTTTGCATAATACTACATGTATACAGAAGATTAAGTACATTTGCTTATGGTTTTTGTATTTTAGTGTAACCTACCTGGTGTTAAGATGAAATTAGTATGCTTGACTTTATAGGATCTTGTATTGGTGTAATCGTCTCTCTTTTGCTTTGTACAGAATTGTTCCAAATTTTATTTCCTTGGTATTAACTTAGTGCCAGATTTCTGATTTAACACAATTACTACTTACCAGTTTTTAATTTTACATGTAAAAAGTTAACTATAAAGCTAATCATTCAGCTTGTTTATTTACTCCTTTTTATCTTGTTTGTTTTTTCTTGGTTCGCTGTGTTGGTTGAAATAAGTTTACGTCATTCTCCTGTTCATCCAATACTAAAGGATATTAGAAAGTTGAAATTGAGGAGTTACATAATGTTGGATATTTACTTCCCTTCTTTAGATGCCTTTTTAGTTCTATCTCTTTTGATAGGTTAAAGATTGTATATCAGAACCACCTTCTGCTCCCTGAAAGCAAGTGTCAAGTGTCTTGAAAGTCTTGTCTCTCATGATGAAGTGGAATGTCTAGACTTCCACTATTTTTAGGTGAATGTTGTGGAAGCAGCGAAAGACACTGATGGCCAGCAAGCTCATTACAGAAACTTCCTTTACAAATGAAATGTACTATGTTATTTAAGTGAATTTACTATGCTTAGTGGACTCAAGATTGTGGTCTGTGATCTATTAGCTACATTGTGCATGATTTCTTGAAGAAACATTCTGTAGTTGGAGGGGAATAAGCTAAAGAAACAGGGATAAAGGTGATATAGACCATTATGACGGGGAGGAATAGAGGAGCTTCTGGAGAGTTCAGAATATATTGTCTCAAATGGAAATTATGTTATTATATTCTATTTAACTTTGGGAACACGTAGAATATTGACTTGTACAGGACTCACATTTGGAAGAAAATTTCTGTATTGTGACAATGAAATGACTGATAGTTGCAGTAGAGAGGAAGAATATGTAATGTATGGTCTAAAATATAACGATATATCAGGGCCATGGAACTTCATACTGATCTCTACTTGTTTTAGCTATAGTTAATCCACACTATGTAGCGTTGTTGTTGTTAGGCGGTCGAATCAACTGGTATGCTCCTGGGCATTGATTTCTTGCATTTGATATGGTTTATAACTTTATATCATATAGCTCTTGGAATGGCTATGTTGGAGAGATATACTTGGCTATTTAAAGGGGCATACTTCTCTGCGACCTTCAATCTAGGTGATTTCATATTTGCATGCCTAAAATGAGATGTGCAATTTTTTTCTTGGAGAAAAGATGCCAGGTTTACTTACATTTGGTCCTTATAAGTGTACTAAAAGTACATGCATCGATGGTCTCTTGTTGTACAATGACTTTGTGATGATTGCACATGTTGTTTAGCTGATCATCCATATCAATGGACAATTCATTAACACAAATTTAATTCTTTGAAATATCTATTAGTGACAAGGGTTGCAGGTTCATGATTATGTTTTGCCATTTAAATATTTTGCACTCCCTAACTAAAGAATTTGCATTAGGCCGACTCTTTGCATGTTCATGGTGTTGCTATTCCAACAGTTGAAGGAATCCAAAATGTTCTCGACCATATTGGAACTAAACTGAGTGGGAAGAAGACTCACATTCTCTGGATTAATCTTCGCGAGGAACCGGTAATAGTACTTCATTACTTTTTTGCATTTGCGTTTCATTGAATTTCTTCTGCACTTCTGTTTTATTTTATCACTTTCTTATAGGTGGTCATTATTTCATTAATAACTGCAGTATAGTTTGGTAAAGAAATTTCTAGGACTTCTAATAGATTCTTTATATGAATTAAATATATAGAATAATCTTATAGGCAATGTTTGCATGTTGTGTTGCACCTTAGAATCTCATTATTTGCCATCCATACATCATATAGTTCCATGATCCAAATTTTCTTTTTGTCGCTCATTGAACCTTCGAGTGCACATATTTTATTGCATTGTTTTTGATTAAACAAAACACCATCATCTTTCTGTCTCTCTCTCTCTCTCTCTCTCTCATTCCGTGTCTTTCTCTCTCATCCTTTCCTTCTTTTTGTTTCTGTTCTTTCTTTTTTCGGGGCAAGTTTGATGGAAGACTTCCCTTGTAAACAGGCTTTCATTCAAAAGAGTATAGACACTTCTCTATTCTACAGTTTTTTCTCTTTCGTGCATGGGTTGCATTATTATTAAAATAAGTGCTATTGCCTATCTTTAGATAGCCCATGAATTTTTTGTTTAAAATGAACTTGCTTAGATAATAGCAAACTACTTCTTACCATTCTCAACAAAAAAAAAGGAAAAAAAGGAATGCAAACTTATTTGCCATTAAATTGCGTGACATCAAGTTCTATGATCAATTACCTGAAATTCTATTATTGATATCCATCCTCATGAAGTATTTGAAGGTGCAAACATCTGTTAGTATTTGAATGAGCGAGCATATAGAGAAGGAAAAATTTGAAACTGATTGAAAGTTGAGCATTGGTATATGCATTTGGTATGCTTGATCTCTTGAATGGCGTAACTAGATAAAGCATTTTGATCAAAGATGCTGCAATATTTTGATTCCTGAAAACTTTATCATGATTGTTTTTTTTCTAATCACGGAACAGGTGCTATATATTAATGGACGCCCGTTTGTCTTGCGTGAAGTAGAAAGGCCCTTCTCTAATCTCGAATATACGGTGCGTCATGGCTAGGATTGATTTTTCATTTTTCATTTTGACATATTGCATATTTTATTTTATTTTATCAAATGCTCATGTTGATTTTGTGGGATTAGGATATTGCATACTTGTCAGGATTTTTTTTTGATCAAGTAAAAGTATTTTCATTCATATTCATGACCAAACTGGCTGTATACAACGGATATACCAAAAGGTAAAGAATCTACATAATATGATTTTCTACAAACTCCACCTAATCATCTATACAACAAGGAGCTTTCTTTTTACACCAAAAGAAAATAAGGGAGTTGAGTAGAGAAACTCAACTCTACTCCTTCAAAGGCGCTTCTATTTCTCTCTTCATACTACCCACATTAATGCAAGCGGAACCACATTCCAAGTCCTTCGTTGTCTCCTCCTCCCGCTCTTCCAACTGAACATCAAATCTTTCATAGTACTTGACATTGCCCAAGGAGTGCAAATCCACTCGAACATATCCCACCATAATCTCATGGTAAGCCGGCAATGTAGAAGAAGGTGGTCTACATCCTCGTCTGCGTTCTTGCACAGGTAAAATCAACTGAAGCAGACAACCTTCTGCTTTTTAAGATTTTCCGCTATCAAAATCACCCCTCTAGTAGCTAGCCAAGTGAAAAAAACACACCTTCCTTGGCACACTTGGACCCATACACCTGTCAGGATTTATCAAAATAATGTCACCACGTATCCACACTAACAAGTTAAACACTTCTGATCATGGCATCAATGAGATTTTATAAGATATATTTATTGGACATTTTCTTATACTTTTTGTTCTCAATGCAGCATTGGTTGTAGGACTTCTGTCTAGCACTTGCTGGGAATTCTTCCTTCCAGAGATTTATGAAAAGTTAGTAATATAAACATGAACATATTCAAAAAATATATACAGGATTTACAGTCAAGCAATTTTACCTTATTAGGATAGTATGGCCCTTAATACTTGGTTTACCAAGCGAAGAATCTTGGCGAAGATTAACCTTCCTACTTCCCCACACACTGGGAAGAATGTTCCCAGAAAAAGCACCAATGCTCTCTATTCTTTGATATGTTTCGTTACACTAAGACCAAGAGGTGGAGGATTAGCTTTAGTAGTGCAGGGGCTTAAGCAAGCCATATTAGATTCTTTTAACGTTTCTCTTAAGAGAGCTGTCCTCTGTGTTGAACCTTCATAATGATTTGCACATCAAATTTTTATTCGGAGACTTCAAACCAACAGCTTCTAGCTCCCGATTATAGCCAAATGCCTCGTTGATCTTTTCCACCAAAAGATCTCTTTCTGTTTGGATATTTCATCCTAGTCCATTTGAAGACTTACTCTCTGAACCAAATTCACCAGAGAGATTCCTTGTTTCAGCTCCATTGTTAAACTTCAGAATTCAGCAAGAATGTGAGATCTCATTTTCCTCAAGTGTCTAAAAGAATTCAAGTTTCAGCAAGAATGAATGATCCTAGTGCTTCTTATTACGGGTAAAACCTTTCTTCTGGCAATGCATATTGGTTTCCACCCTCATCTTGTGTATACTTGCAACTTTTCTTTATCTGTCATTTGTAAGGTTCTAATGCAAGTTTTTAACTTTCATATCTTTTCCTAATATATCTGTTGATATTCTTCTTGATATGAACTTAGATTTTATATTAAATAGGGAATTAACAGGACAAGAGTGGAGGAAATGGAGGATCGTTTGAAAGAAGACGTTCTGCAAGAAGCTGCAAGGTTATTGTTTGCTCTATTTATTGTTCGTGAACGAATATCTTAGGGTTTTCACTAAATGTCATGATGCTCACGTGATCAACATTTTTATCTGATCTCTTCTATTTGATAAACAACAGATACGGAAATAAGATCCTTGTAACTGATGAGCTTCCTGATGGTCAGATGGTGGATCAATGGGAACCAGTAACATATGATTCTGTGAAAACACCCTTACAGGTTTCATGAGTTTACAAAAGCTTTGTTGAAGTTGGCGTCAGAAAAGTTTGTATTGATTGCTCATTTTCATTTTGTACATCTCCCTCAAGTTAGGTGTATGAGGAGCTGCAATCAAAAGAGTACCTGGTTGAATACGAACGTGTTCCTATTACCGACGAAAAATCACCTAAAGAGCTGGATTTTGATATTCTTGTGAGTATTTGTATCTTAATTTGTCTTTGATATTCATTCCCATTTTTTATGTCGAAGATACCTTGCTTGTCATCATGAAGGTATTGGAGGTTCCGTTTCTGAAGTTTTTATTATTCTTGGTCAGAGGTTACGCTGAAACATAACTTCATGCATCGGAATATAGTTTTTTTTTTCTTTTTGAAACTGGTAAAGATTGCATTCCTCAACATTAAGGATATGTTGGCAACCTTCAAAAAGGGACCAAGGAAGAAAAATAAAAAAGAGATTACTTACAGAGAGCCTAACAAATCTACAAGTTCTGAGTCCTCAATTTCTTTCTCTTTACACCAAAAACAAAAAGATACATACAATTCCATTTAACTTTGTGAATGGAATTAGATATATCTTCAAAGCTTCTGCTATTTCTCTTCCTCCATACAGTCCACCAGACACACTGTGGGATGATTCTCCATCATCTCTTCTGGCTCTTGGTTTCTCCTCTTCTAATCTAGCAACTCAATAATCTGCAGTGTGCTCAAGATCCATTTTGTGTTTGTGAGTGTAAAAAAAAAAAGCCCATAACTGTGCTGTGAATTTACAATGCAGAAAAAAGACGGTTGTTGGTCTCCTCTGTTTTCTACACATAGTTGACATCTGGAAACAATAATTTGCCCCTTTTTCTGCAGAATTTCCTATGTCAAGCAAGCGCTTCTGTCTACCAACCATATAAAGTATTTTACTTTTGTTGGTGCTATGTTCTTCCAAACATTGTTCCACAACAATAGTTGGTTTTTGTTTTGTTGTGCATTGCCTATTTCATAAGCCCTTTTAAGTGAAAAACTCCCATCCTTGCTATGTTTCCATCTTAGAAAATCTGCAACTGAGGAAGTGTCTGTGAATCCCTCTAGTTCATGTAGCATGCTGGCCACCCTGTTTACTTCCCAATCATTCAAATGCCTTCTAAAGGATAAATTTCACCCCTGAGCAGTCCAACACTCATAGACAGCTGCCTCAGGATTGTTGCATCTTCTGAATAAATCATGAGGTCTGGTTGTTCTATGCATCTCTCCAAAACTCTGTTTCTCTACCATCCCCCACTTTTATATCCATGTTTCCTGCTAGTGTAGGCCAAAGATCCCTGATTGTTCTCCACACCCCAACACCATATTATTGCTGGCATCACTCATCCAAGGGTTAAGCTCACCATATTTGCATTTGATAACATCATTCCATAAAGCTTGGCCTCCTTCACTATACCTTCATAGCCATTTCATCAAGAGACTTTTGTTCTGTCTCTTGAGGTTTCTGATGCCCATTCCTCCCAAATGTCTACTATTCAAAGTTGTATCCCATTTCACCAGATTATATCCCCTATTGTCTTTGCAACCATGCCATAACAAATCCCTCCTAAATTTGTCCAACCTCTTCAGAACCTTAGAAGGTAAAGGAAACAAGGACACAACATAGGTAAGTAAAGAGTCCAAGATAGTATGCGGGTCAGTCTTCCTCCCAGAGATTATTATTGAGTCTTCCACCTCGTCAATCTGTTTTCTGCCTTCTCTACAATGCCATCCTATTTCATTGGCTTTTATGTTTGTTGCCTGATGGCATGCCCAAATAAACTGTAGGCAAGTGCTACACATTGCAACCCAGTATCTTTGTCTAACTATGTAAATTGACCACTTTCTTAATTGGAAACAAATTGCTTATCCCCCATTCACTTTGAAACCTGAAGTGGCCTCAAATAACAGAAGTATCAATCTGATGTATTTTATCTATTCCTCTATAGGTTTGCAAAAAATAATTGTATCACCAGCATAAAACAGATGACAAATCTCCTTAGTTTGTCCTCTATCACCTCCTATTTGGAAGCCTCTGATCCAATTGTTTTGTAATGCTACTTTCATCATACTGTCAAATCTTTCCATCGCCAAAATAAAGAGAAAGGGAGATAAGGGGTCTCCCTGTCTCAATCCCCTTCGTGACAGGAGGAATCCAACTTGTTCACCATTCACAAGAACAGAGAATATAACTGTACTGATGCAAAACCTAATCCATCCCCAACCATTTCTCTTCAATGGAATATAGTTGTTTTATGTTGATTTGGATGGACATATCGTGAAAATTAGACCATAAAAGTTTTCTGAAAACTTTGATCTTCTGCAATCAATCAAATTTTTGTGAGTTATTGTATTTTAGTGTCTAGCTACCATCTTTCTGAAATCCTTATGATAGAAATTGGTCAATTTGAATAGCCTCTGAGGTTTAATTCAAAGGTTAAGGGACTTGTGACCTAAATCACAAGTTTATGCCCTGTACCATGTGAACAAACCCTGGTATTTAAATGCAAAAGGGTAAAGGGTGGACCCATTATACTCGAGTTTTGAAAGTTGCGGTTGATCTTGAGGGTTGGAATGTCAACTACCTACCAATCTCTAAAAGCTAGTTGTCTTATGTAGTTTTATAGTTGGGTTTATATGTACCCAATAAATTCCCCTGTTACCTTCTCACTAGCTCTCGACTAGATATATATGGGAGCTGATAAGTTCTTTTTTTGCTACTCTACATTTGTAACTATTATGCATCCACATGTGGCATGCCATCAATGCATTGTTTACTTCATAAAAAAGAAGAAGCAGAAGAGACGGTGGAGATTAGTTCCATCATGCATCTGATGGTCAGTCTGGTTGGAAAGAAATGGTTGATGCTTTGAAGACAGGTCCATTTCCATTCATAAAGTAAAAAATTCAATTACATCTTGTCTTTACTTTTTTGGTGTAAACAATTGTGCATAGTAGATATATTATAGATCAGATAGTGGACTTAATAGGAAACTTGTAATTGCTACTATTTTTTTTCCGGAGGTGGCCAACATGCCCTTAATGCTGAAGAATACAACCATACCAGTTTTAAAAAAATGTTTCACCAAGTCAATGTAAACTTGTTTTGGTTTTGTAACTGAGGAGAGAGGTTCTTCATCCAAAGTTGTTTTTTAGGACACGTAACTGTTCTATGTGCAAGATTGTGAGGGAAGATGTGTATCTTTACTGCTCATCGTCCCATGGACTATATATGTTCGTAATTTGTTGGATTAGTACAAACATTGTTAGAGTGCTGCTTCGCGGATGGAAGTACAAAAAGGGATAGAAAAAAGAACGTGATGCAACTCCTTAAGCACTAATGTGGACAATATTGAATGAGAGGAACATATGAGGCCTTGAAAAAGTGAACTCAAATTTTGGATATTAGTGGAAGATTGTTGAACTTTGTACATTTTTTGGAGCATCCTATTCCAATTTGTAATGATGATTAGTTTCTATTTGTGGAAAAACACGTGGTTGTGTAAGCTCTAATTATCTTATTGTATACACCTTGTAGGTAGAGGTTTCCATCATATTAATTCCAGATCTTACATATATTAATAAAAGGACAGATATAGTATTGAAATATTCTTCTTCCTTTATTGTTGCTTTTAAAAGCATTTATAGTTCACATTCCTCCAACTTATTCATATCTTCTAGTTTTGGCTTAGAAAAATAGCTATAAGTAAAAACTCAGCTATTTACACTTTACTACCAAGATAAAATTAGGGGTAAGTTACATCTCTCTCTGCGGTAAATTCAATTTAATTTTGCAAGTAGTTAGTTTGTCTTAACAAAGGGGAGAACCCTGTATGCAAGTTCTATACAAACTAAGGTTGTACTAAAGAATTGAATCAAGAAACTCACACAATCATCTACACAATAGAGAATATGTTGTATTCTTTAAAAGTATACTGGGAATAGCAAAGTGTTCCTTTCATTTTCATCAATGAATTTTCTTGTCCTTCACAAGCTCTGTTAATGCATTTTCCGTTCTCCCTGATAAGTTGCTGAGACTCTTCACTTTGGATGCTGCACCCTTGTTAACACGACGTGGGTGTGGGTGTGAGTGTGAGTATGATCGATCGGATCTGGTCAACCAGTTTTGGGTACTTTGACCAAAATCAACGGACAAATTTTGGACTGATACACTGATTGTTGTAATCAAAACAAAAGGTAAGGTAAAATTGAGGAAAATGAAATACCTTGTATATAGAAATTTCTATGTAAGTCCTTTTCCTTGTATCTCCCTCTGGGTTTTTCTCTTGATCAATATTTTCTCCTCGGAATACCTTGTTTCATATGATGTCTCATAATTTATACATATAACTCTGGTTTTAGATGTTTGAATTATTTTTAGCCGAATTCCCGCACCCATATCTGTACCTTGATCCATACCCCCGAATCTTAAAATTTAGATCATGAAGGATCTGACCTCTAGATCTGCACCCATATCGGTCACCTGCATCCGATTCCGAGTAACTTATTTCCCTGCCTCTTCACATTCTCCAACATTTCAAATGTTACACTATATTTGGCATCACTGAGTTGATTTCTGTCATTTTAAACATCAATCCACAAATTAGAAGGAAAATTATAGTGTGAAAGTAGGTGATCAACCTCCTTTTAACCCCTCAATATAAAGCACCAATTAAACATATAATTTGCTTCTTTTTTTTTGAGATTTATTCTCGTGAGATCGAACTCCAAAAAGTAGTGGCGGAGCCACAACCAAGGAAGGGGGTTCAATTGAATCCACTTTGTTGGAAAGTAGTACCGTGCAAATAGGGCAATCTTTTTTTCCGTATGTAGATATAACTTTTGGATCCCCTTGTAGTGGCAAAGATAGTGAAAAGTTGCTTTAGGGTCATATTTTCAAATTTTATGAATCTCCTTAATATTCCTCGCTCCTTCATTGCCCAGAAGTTGTCCTTAAAATGCAAATTTTCTAGGTGCCGTTTTTGTCCATACAATTGCATAAGGGAAAATCTTTGAGTTTTAAAGTTGATATAGCATGGCAAAGATGTAACTGTAAAAGTACCTGATGGAACTCCCTCACAATTCGAGGAATGTCACCCGCTTGCAGGATCGTAAAAGCATAAATATTACTCCCCCGGTCCCGTCCCAATTTATATGACTTAGTTTCCTTTTTAGTCAGTCCCAAAAAGAATGACACATTTCTATATTTAGTGATAAGTTAACCTATAAATGTCCATTTTACCCTTAGTGGAATGATTTACAGCTTATTTTAGACCACAAGTTTTAAAAATCTTTCTTACTTTCTTAAACTCCGTGCCAAGTCAAACTAACTCACATAAATTGGGACGGAGGGTATGTAGAAGACATGTTCTTCCTCCACCTTCTAATCATCAAAGGTTCTAGCTGAAGTTAAAGTCCTAACTCTTGTTGTTGACTCCACATCTACCTCACCTTTGATTAAGCTATAGTCAAGTATTTCTTCTTTAGTATATCTTTTTTCTTTTATCAAGTAAAAGTATTTTCATTAATGACAAGGCCAGAAACATATGGCCATATACAAGTGGTATACCAAAAAGTAGAGAAACTACAAAAAGATATGATTCACTACAACTGTCACCCTATCTTCTATACAATGAGTTACTACCTGGGTGCACCAAAGGAAAATGAGGGATCAGAGGCTACTCCGTAAATTGAGTAAAACTCATCTCTACCCCTTCAAAAACTCTTCTGTTACTCTCTCCAAACAACTCACATCAACACGAGTGGAGTGACATTCCACACTTTGCGTCTCTCCTTCTCTCACTCTTCCAGAAGGACATCAAATCTTTTACAGTTCTTGGCATCACCCATGGGATGCCAAACCACATAAATCCCACCGTAACCTCACGGCTAAGTCACGATGTATATCTTCAGTATATCCTTGGGAGGGTAATTATGGTAATCTGCCCAAGAGCTAATTACTGAAGCTAATTAGGGTACAGTAATGACAATTGTGCAGTTTATTACAAATTCCAAATGACAGGACCACTTTTGGGTTGAATTTTCAGTAAACTAGTTAGGGAAGGTTTCTAGATTGCAAATTAAAACAAGAAGGGATTTAATGAATTCTTGTTTTCCGTTTTACCAATCAAAAAAAAGAAAGGAATGTAATGTTGTTTTAAGCTAGAATGTCTTTAATTTTGTGTAACTGGAGGGAGGGAGCTAGCTGGTTTTCGTTTACCTTTAAAATTTAAACCTTCACGTTTCTGTTATAATATAGCAACTGTCTTGACTCGTCAAGCGGACTTCTTTGCGTATATTGACAGGATATGGTTGTTTAACTTTTTTTCCTTTTCAAGTGAGTAGTCTAAAATGTATGGCAGCCATGTGTTTATGACCACATTTATGCTCTTAAAATTGTGCTTTTGCTTATATAAATATTTCTGTTTAAATGTAGAGGTTCTCTACTAAATCATTTCCCTGATTGATTTGAACATTTGGTTTTGTCTTATTCCTTATGTTTTTCTCTCACCTTTTGATCTTTAGGTTCATAGAGTTTCCCAAGCTGATGTGAAGACCCAGATTATTTTTAATTGCCAAATGGGACGTGGGAGAACAACGACAGGAATGGTGATTGCTACATTGGTGTACCTTAATCGTATCGGGGCTTCTGGTAATTCTTATTTTCTCTTATGTCAGACCTGGCATTTCCTTTCAATGTTCAATTTTTACAAACATTTCCTACCCTTAGATTTTTTTATGAAGTAAGTAATTTCATTAATGGCATCCAGTGGATGCAGAAAATCAGAAGTACATAGTGCTAGAAAATATAGATCAGCTCCTGCACAGAGAGGTAAACTAAATAGTTAGGAGCTGACAAAATCTTAAGACTATCTTGGTACTTTACAGGGAAGAGATTATGCCATCTTTTCATTCACTGCACTTTCACCACACATGTCTGGCATTTCATTCTGAATATTAATATTATGGGGGGGGGGGGGGGTTCGGGGGAGAACGCCGGGGAAAAA